GTGTTAATTTTTAATTATGCCACTTAGATTTAGCAGCTCCACTTGACCAAGTTTAACCTCTGCTTTGGAAGGCAAGAAGCCTTCAAGTGGAGTCGTCCTGATGTTTGGAAGCTGTATCTGCAGAGCTCTTGATCTGTAGCTGCTCAGAATGGCTTTCTGCTCCAGGTTGTCCCTTTTCCCCAGGTGGTTTTCACTGTCTCTCCTGTCATCTTTGTGGGTGGGTTTTTGGAAACATTCAGTGTTACTGTGAGTAGTTCCTACTGACATCTCTGGGGTGTGATTTTTTGTTTGAATGATGTCATGGAGGCAGCTTTAGACCAAGGCTGGTGGCGTTTGACAGGTCCCCTCTGACTGGGGACCAGGGGAATGCCCACTGCCTCAGAACCACCATTTCCACCCAAGAGCTTGGGCAGAGGCTGCTCTGTTACACCCAGCTCGGGCAGTGCAGTTCCAGAAGCAGTGAAGAGGCAGAATGCAGCTCAGATCATCTGCCAAAGGTTCTCCATTGTGTGCAGAACATCCCTGCAGCGTGACAGCAGCTTTTGCAAGATGGAACAAAAGACTTTGATACAAGTCGTTAAGTGAAAGAAAATGCTGAACCTGGAGCATTCTCCTTCTTATCTTCACAAGCAAGTACATTCCCCAGATGATGAATATGCTCATTATGTTTTATATCACACGTAATGCTGCACAGGCTGTACCTGCAGCAAGGCACAGAAGGCCCAGCAACTTCATTACGAGCTGCAGGAGTGAAATGGTCTTTCCTGGCTTGGGGGGGGATGTGTTTACACAGGTCATTAGTGGGGACAGCCAAGAACAGGAGTACACGGTGTGAGCCTGTTTCAGGCAGCAGGGAGATGGGCATTTCTCCAGCCTGCTCCAGAGAACCCCTGCGAGGCATCTGCTGCAGCTCCTCCTGTCCCCCCTAACTCACAGCCTCAGCTCCGAGTGTTTCTGGATGTTCCTCAGCTGGATCCTTCCCACCTCTGTGCTCCGAACCCAGCAGCTTCTCCTTGTGCAAATGCAGCAGGGCGTGCTGAGGTGGCTGGGAGCATGTTGTGATTCCTGCTTGGAGGGAACCCATCCACATGACTGATGCTGGCAACCGAGCTGCTGTCTGCCCGAGCAGCTGCCACGGGAAGCGGCTGCAGCTGGCGAGGGCTCCAACTTCAGCTCAGGAGTTATGGCCACCCTTGCAACCAGCTTAACACCATGGGGCTTCCAGAGTCGGGGGGTGTTTCACCTGGAATTTCCTTGCTCTGCCAAGAGCCAGGGTTAACCCGAGCTGGTCACACAATCCAAATCTGTGCCGGCCCTCTGAACGCGTGAAGTGGAGCGGGAGGGGAAGCCCGAGCCCAGGACCTGCTCCCTGTGCTGATGCTGTGCTCTCTCGTTAACAGGGGGCAGCCAGGGCACGTGTGGGGACCCGGGCATCCCCTCCCATGGCATCGGGCTGGGCGAGGACTTCGGCGTGGGCAGCGTGGTGCGGT